GCCGACCAGCATACTGACACATATCTTAGTTAACTGGAAAAAGGCAGAATGGAAGGATACAATGAGAAGCTCAACAAAAGACTTAACAAAAATTTAAAACAAAATTATTTTGTCTTATTGGGATGAGTAAATTTTAAGTATTTCCTTAAATTACAGATATTTACCTTCTACGCACATACACATTTCTCCAAACCACAAGATCTCAATAGCAATGAAAAGTGTCAAAAGAATTAAAGACCCAATTATGAACGCCTTCCATCCATATCTAAGTGCTAACACTACATTCATTGCCAATAGTTCTCTTCAGTCTCATACTTCATTTCAAACACCGCTTAGTATGATATAAAACTTTTATGGAGTTTTCAACGCAGGTCTCTCTACTTAAAAAAAAACAACAGTGTGACCTTGAAAAGAACCTGGAAGGATCCCTACTAGCTCAGCATCAAAACAAGGTGCTCCTAGCAATTCGAGCCAGAGAACTTCAGCTGAAAAGAGACATACAACAATCCAAGCCCCTCAGTAGAGGTAAGTATCTTCCAATGACAGAATCCCCGAATTCTTAAGAGTTAGAACGGCCCTTTAAAGGTCATATAGTCCAACTCCCCTGCAATGAACAGGGACACGACAGTTAGACAGGTTGCCCACCGTCTGGTTCAGCCTTGCCTTGAAAGGCTCCAGGGATGAGGCACCAAGCACACACCTGGGTAAACTGTTCCAGTGCTTCACCACCCTTATTGTAAAAAAACCCTTTCTTATATCTAACCTAAATTACCCTCTTTGAGCTTGAAACCATTTTCCCTTGCTCTATCACTACAGACCATGCTAAAGCGTCCCCTTCGTTCCTGCAGCTCCCCTTTAGATATTCACAGGTCCCTATCACATCACCACAGTCTTCTCTTCTCCAGGCAGAACAGCCACAGCTCCCTCAGCCTGTCCTCATAGCAAAGGCGTTCCATCCATTGCATCATTTTTGTGGCCCTCCTCTGGACACACACCAACAGGTTCACATCTCTCCTGTACTGAGGACTCCGTGTCTGGATGCAGTACCCCAACTGAGGGCTCATCAGCACAGAGCAGCACAGAGCAGAGGGGCAGGATCATCTCCCTCACCCTGCTGGCCACACTTCTTTTGATACAGCCCAGGATGTGGTTGGCTTTCTGGTCTGCGAGGGATCATTCCTGTCCAGCTTTTCATTCACCAGTACCAAGAGGTCTTTCAAGGCAGGGCTGCACTCAATCCTTTCATCCCCCCGTTTGTATTGGTAGTGGATGTTGCTCCGAACCGAGTGCAAGATTTGGATTTGTTGAATCTCAGGAGGTTCACCTGGGCCCACTACTCAAACCTGTCAAGGACACTCCAGATCGCATCCCATCCCTCTGGTGTGTCAACTGCACTACACAACTCAGTGTCACCACCGATGAAGATATTAAAGTTGGAGTTGGTCCCAGCACCAACTCCTGGGAGATGCCACTCGTCACTGATTTCCAGATATCGAGATATCAAGCCATTGACCACCACTCTCTGGACTAGATTCTGCAGCCAGTTCTTCATCCATCGTACATTCCACACATCAAATCCACATCTCTCCACATCTCTCTCTGCCTTATTGCAGTCCAGATAAACGACACTGGTAGCTCTTCCCTTGTCCAACGATGCAGTGACACCATCATAGAAGGCCAATAAATTGAGCAAGCTGGATTTGCCCTTGGTGAAGCCACACTTGTTCTCCAATATTTTCATCGTGCCTTCTACATGCCTCAGCATAGATTCCTGGAGCATCTGCTTCATCATCTTTCCTGGCACAGAGATGTCCCTGACAGGTTTCAGTTCCCAGGGTAGTTCCTCTTTGCCCTCCTTAAAAATGGAAGTGATGTTGCCTTTTTTCCATCACCAGGGACTTCACCTCATTGCCGTGACTTTTCAAATATCACTGAGTGTGCCTTGGCAACCACACCAGCCAATTCCCTCAGGATTCTGTGATGCGTCTTATTGAGACCTGTGGACTTGTGGATGCTCAAGTTCCTTGGGCAGTCACAAACCTCATCCATGCTTACAGTGCGAAGGATGCTTCTTCATCTATCCCCTCCTACCAAATTGAACACTTGAGGGCTGTGCAATTAGCACTTAACAGAAAAGACCAAGGCAAAGAAGTACCTCAGTCTTCCCCTTTTCTGTTGTTACCAGTTTGCCTATGTCACTCACTAGGGGCTGCGAGTCCTACTGGATCTTCGTTTTCTGGTTGAGGTACCTGTAAAAACCTTTCTTGTTCTTACTGGTATTCCTTGCCAAGTTTATTTCAAGCTGGGCCTTGGCTTTCCTGACTTCATTCCTCTAAATGTCAGGATAAATGGTGAAGGATAGTTATAACAAAATACAAGAAAATGTGCAAGCAATGCTGGTGTGCAAAGAAGTGAAAATTTCCTATTTCATTCACTTATCTCAAACTTTTGTTGTTCTGGGGACTGAAATTATAAGGAATACTCCACATAAATTCAACAGTACTGAACTGAAGAGTCAAGCTTACAGAAAATTTTAAATTAGTGGAATTCGGCTTTAGGATCACTGGAAGGAAGAATAGTGAGTACTATATACACTCCTCGCCAAAAGGAAAGATGAATTTGTATGCATATAAAGCCACATCCAACCACATTGTTGTGCATTAAGATATTGTTAGGGGGCAGTATCAAAATTCCTTTGGTGACAAAAATCTGATTCAAAACAAAAACAAATATTAGCTTCAAAACTGAATAACAAATATTTTAATAATAAACAATACTTTCCATGACAATAATCTGAGGAAATGAATACATGCCTAAACCCATCTCTTAGCATCTGTCTGAACCACCAGTTACTTAGCTACAGAATTTGGGATCAAAGATAGCAATCATACTTAATACCCCTTTCAATATTTACTATCTCCTTCTACTCCCATGTGACCTGATATCTATTTTCTCATGCTGTATCAAGATTTTTCCAGCAGAATTAGTTCCAACAGCTTAACTTATATACAGCATCTTTGCCAAGCACTACCATTCTCACAGCCAGTTTGCAGATGCATGGCCACCCTTGCTGCAACTGTGACAGCACAGCAACTCAGTCTCATGACAAACTGCATATGAAAGTATACCCACAGACAAGCCTGCACTAAGCCTGAGCCATCAGACAGGATAAACATAGGAATGAACATTGCTAGATACACTGCATACGACTAATATTGCACTCAGATGGTCTCTAGTTGGAATAAAACAAACACAACATTCTTTTTCTTATCTAAATTCAAAGTTTATCAAAAGGATGTCTCTTCTTGAACTTATTACTTACAAGATGCCAGAAATGCTTCACATTTGAGTAGTACACATGGAAAAACACAACATGCAAAACCACCAGAGGCACTAAGATGCCAGAGCGCTCTTCAAGAAGTCTAACAAGAGACCTGCCCATTGTCAATGTGCCACACAACACATCTCAGTCTTCCTGGACGCATCAAGTCTGGCAGCTTCCCCCCTATCAGTGTTTACCGGCTCCATCAAACAATCCACCCAGACACACTGAGGTGCATTCGAAGTCAGACGTCCACAAGGCGCACAATGAAAGCTCCGAGGTATAAAGGGTCACTTTATCATCATTTAGCATCAGCTCTACTATTGTAAAGAATTAGCATCTCAAAACAAGACTTACTACTAGAGCCACCCAAAGAGAGGCCGGTGTGGGAAGGAACTTTTGCTGGCTCTGAGCACCCACAGTTCCAGACAAAGTGCTGCCCAGATGCAGGATAAACCGCGCAATTTTCTTCAGAAATATACAGCCTAAGGAATAAGGTGCTAATTGCGCTGCATAAAGGAACTAAACTGAGTATTTCAGTAGAACAAATCAGTGCAAAATTTACAGCTGATGCATCTGTTTTGCTTCACAGTGTAAAGCACTGTTCAATAAGTTTATGGCACACACAGAGGTCACTCCAAAAATAATACCTCCCACTTACTTCCATGGAAGATACAATAGACACAAAGAGCACAATAACATTATTACAGAAGACAGAGCATATTGCCAGCTACAAACCACTATTTTTCAACACAGTCACCACCATTAGTTATGCATTTTCAGAAAATTTGAAGAAAAGTCTGCATGCCACATTTGCAGTTATCTGCACCAGTGCAGGTGATCCACTGTCACTGTTGCCACTACTAAAACGTACCACCCACTGCTTCACAGTGCTCACAGCCACTGGCTAGTCTCTACGTTCAGCAAATGTCAATGAATGTCAATGGCTGCCCCTTTTTCCACATGGAGAAAATTCACTGACACACCTTTGCTCCACACGTGCTTTCATGCAAGTTGCTATTCTGTCAGACTACCCCTCTGCTGCCATCTGTCAGTCGGCAACAACATGCAACGGAATACTGGTGGGAAGGTTCAGCCTCTACTGCCAACACCGTGAAATAGGAGGCATTACTTTCGGAGCAGCCGCGATAGCAGCCTCAGCGAAGAGCACGGAGACAGAAAACGGGCAGCAGCAGCAGCCGCTGCCGGCACTCCGAACTCAACGCGCGGACGCAGATCGCCACCTAGGCGGAGCCGGAAGGCAGAGCGAGCCGCTGCTTCGTAAAACGAAAGAGGGCCGAACGCAGCGCGAGGCAGAGTCCCGCGCAGCCAGCAGGCGGCGCTCGCCGCCGCCGCCACCTTGGACAGCACAACGAGCCACGCTCCCACCCGCCGCGGCGCTCGGAGCTGCCGCTCAACGGTTCCCCGCGCGGGGGCGCCGCCGTGCGGTTGCCGCCGCCGCCACCCAACGGCGAGGCCGCCCCTCCGCTCGACGCCGGGCGGAGCGGGCCTGGGGGTTGCGCGCGGGAGCGCGGCACGGGCTCCCTCCCCGGCTCTCCTCGGCCCTCCCCGCGGAGATAACGGCGACGGCGGCCGGGGCGCCCGCACCTGTCCCTGCCGAGCCGGGGCGACGAGTTACGACGCGTTCCGTTACCCCCCTCCCCCCGCCGCCCTGCACCTGGCACACGGCGTTGCGGAAGCCGCGGTAGTTGTTCTTGCCGTAGCTGAGCACTTTTTCGTCCTGATCCGCCTGCTCCCGGCGCCGGTCGAAGAGAAAGACGGTGCGATCCCCGCCTCCGCGTGGAGACAAATGCATCAGCTTGCGGGCCCCGCGGCTGCCGCCCGCCGCTGCCATGTTGGGAAGCCGAGGAGACGGAAAACGTCCGGCAGCGATGGCGGCAACGGCGGCGTTTGGCGCCTACCCGCGAGCTCCCCCGTCTGGCGCTGCGTTCCTGCCGAGCGGAAGAAGACGAGGAGCCGGAAGGGAGCAGAGCGCGCGGCTCGAGAGCGCGCTGCGGCCAAGAATCGAAACCGCGTCTTGGCGCCGCGACCTCGGAACGAGACCGCGCTGCGCCACTTCCGGGGCGGGACGGGAGGCGAAGGGCCGGCACCGCCCCCTGGACGCGCATGCGTGCTGGCGCCGGCACCGCGTGCCGGTCGCCTCGCCAGCCTTTGAGGCTGCGGGCGCCGCCGCCACCTCTTCGGGGCAGGGCTCAGCGAGCCGCGACCGTTGTCCTCACTCGGGCTTAAGCACTGAGGTGCAAAGGGCTGCTCACCTTCCTTGGCATGAACAGTCAGACCTGTGTTGGTCCCCATGGCGTGGCAGCTGTAGCTTGTCCCTCGCTGCCCATCCAGTTTCTTTCTGTCTGCTGTATGGACGCTGAGGTGTCAGCTTGTCACTGCCACGTGCTCAAGTGAATTAGCTTCTAGTGTGCCTTGGGAACTGCCAAGTTAGTATAGAGATACAAAAATACTATCACAGAATTACAGACTCACTTTAGCTAGAAGGAACCTCAAAGCCCACCCAGTCCCACCCCGTGCCATGGGCAGGGCTGCCCCACGGCAGCTCAGCTGCCCAGGGCCCCATCCAACCTGACCTTGAGCAGCTCCAGGGATGGGGCACCATAGCTTTTCTGGGCAGCTGTGCCAGCACCTCACCACTCTTGAGTGAAAAATTTCATCGACATCTTATCTAAATTTCCCCTCATTTAGTTTAACACTATTCTCCTTTGTCCTGTCACCATCAGACTGTGTAAAAACTTTCTCCCCCTTCCTGCTTGTAAGCACCCTTCAAGTACAGGAAGGCTGCAATGAGGTTTTACCAAAGCCTTCTCCTCTCCAAACTAAACAAGCCCAACTTCCTCAGCCTTTCTTCATAGAAGAGGTGCTACAGCCATCTTCGTGGCCCTCCTATGGACTTTCTCCAAGAGCTCCACATCTTTCCTGTATTGGGGACCCAGACATGCATGCAGTACTCCATTCTGCTTTATATATTTGTATCCTTGGATCAGACGTCATAGTACCTACAAAGCATTTTTTTTTCCTCTTTTTTTTTTTCTCCAGATACCCTCCATCCACTCAGCATTCCTGCTTTCTCAGAAGTACTCCTCTTTGCACCAGGTAGGATCAGATCTCAGGATGCTTGCTGTCTGGCTGTCCCTGGCTTTTCTCAACCTCATCAAGTTGGGATGGACTTCATCTGGAATAGAGAGAACTGTGTTATACACTGCACCCACCCCTCTCTGCGCTCTACATTTTATCAGCAGTAATAACAGATGTTGAAACTGCAGCATAATACCTGTAGAATCCCACTTATAAACAGCCTTTCTGTTGAAGATGGAAGTGACAATTTCACCTTGGCAAGCAACTCTTCAGATTTGTTTTGAATAAATATTACTGTTTTCTTACTTTTTTTTTCCTTAGGGAGAAGAGTAATTTTTTTTTTTTTTTTTACATGTTTCCACTGAGTAGGGTACATTGAAGGAATTATATAAATAATTAAGGATTTCATGTTCACTTCTGTTTTAAGGTCCACAACTGCTTTTAATTCTTATTCATGTTGAACGCATTGAAAGTCTCTGCGTTGTTGAATATGCAACACTAATGGCTTCTGGATGTACACCATTTTTGAATACCATAGTAACTGAAAATCTGTCATTGAAATAATATTTCAAAAAATAAATAGTCTTTCAGGGACTAGCAAAACATACTTGTCAGGAACCTGTCAAGTCCTTTTCCCATTCAGAAAGACCTGGGCAGACTGGAAGGTTGGGCAGAGAGGAACCTGATGAGCTTCAGAAACAGCAAATGTTGAATTCTGTACCTGGTGAGGCATAACTCCATGCATCAGTGCTGGCAGGGTGCTGACCTGCTGAAAAGGAGCTCTACAGAGAAGGACTTGAGTATGTTGGTGGACAAATGGTTGGCCATGAGCCAGCAGTATACCCTTGTGAACAAGAAGGCCAATGGGATCCTGAGGTGTCATAACAAGAATGTGGCCAGCAGGTCAAGGGAGGTGATCCTACCCCTCTACATTGCCCTGCTGAGGCCACATCTGGATTGCTGTGTCCAGTTCTGAGGTCCTTGGTTCAAGAAGGAGGGAATTTGTAGAGAGCCCTGTGAAGGGCTACAGAGATGATGAGGGGCCTTTCTAATGAGAAAAGGCTGAGAGATTTGGGGCAGTTCAGCCTGGAGAAGACTGAGGGGCAGATCTCATCAATACTTACAAATATCAAATGGGTGAGTGTCAAGAGGATGGGGTCAGGCTCTTTTCAGTGGTGCCCAGCAGCAGGAAAAGGGGCAATGGGCACAAATTGGAGTGCAGGAAGTTGTATACGAACATGAGGAAAAGCTTCTTTACTTTGAGAGTGACAGAGCACTAGAACAGGCTGCCCAGAAAGGCTGTGGAGTCTCCTTTTCTGGAGGAATTCAAGCCCCACTTGAATGCTTTCCTGTGTAAGGAACCTGCTTTAGTGGCGCATTAGACTGGATAAATTCCTTTCCTACTCCTATGATTCTGTGATTTGTGATTTATTCTAGCCTATGCTAACAGCTTTTCCTCCTATCATAAATGATAGGGTCATTGTTGTGGATGCACTTTATGAAGTGACTTAGTGAAAGAAATTCAGTAATCAGAATTTATGCATCTGTATTTCTGGAAAGTGCATCCTGTGCTTCTAATGTGGTTAATTTAGAGAAACTGAGCATGTTCTGAATTTTGTGTGTTGTTTTGAACCTACAGTTCATTTTGTCATGCTGGATGTTGTTCATATATTCCGAGTTTGGCCTTTCAGTACTTTAATTGAGCATTGCAATTTTAAGAGTTTCCTCATTTGCAGTAATTTTGGAAAGATGTCTAGGCAAAGGATATGTAAGAGTAGTAAATAGAAACTTATTTATTTGTATTCTTCTTTTATTTGAAGGTGACATTTTCATTGTCTGGTACTACTGCTTGTACTGATGCAGAGACTAGGAGACATACGTGGCTGGGCTATTTGATCTATGACATAAGGTAACACAGCCCATACTGTGGCCTGTGCCATCATGGTGGCAGCACTGCCCTGCTGAGTGGCCCAGCCTGGCAACAGCCAAATATCAGTGAGTAACTGGCACTGTTTCAGCTGAAACAACTATCATCAAGGATGAAATACAGGAAGAGTAAAATTTCATCAAAGATCTCTGAACACCTCAACATCTCACAAGGAATTGCAGCCACTAACATAGAACCAGAGTGAGGCATTAGTTTCACAAAAATGAGGTGTAGTATTTTACGCTTCTGCTGCTCTCTTTTTGTTTAATTAACATTTTAATAAAATATTTAAAATGAAATGTTTTGTTACTTATATACATTATCTATATTATCTGTTTTATATGTGTCCCAGGACAATTCCTCCTCACTCAGTGTGGCCCAGTTTGGTCATCCATGGTCTAAAGGAACACTTCCTTTTGTGTGCTCTGTCCTCCTTGTTTTGAATAGGTACAAACAGCTGTGATTGGAAGAAGGCAACTGCTAAGTAAACTAGTATTCCCAACTTGGAAAGGAAATGCTTGTGAAAGCATAGAGAGAAAATCTATGAAACTCTGAAATGTAATAATGAATGATTTAAGGGAAAACATCATGCAAGCACTGAGTTTCATGCAGTTACACTGGGGCGAGGAAGGTTTAAAATACAGATTTTTTTCCCCACATATTATTGCATAGAGAAACTCAGCATGGTAGAGTTTTGTGAGAATAAAAAGCATGTCCATTACACAATTAAAGAGAGTAAGGTCTCTTACAGTTTTGTGAAAAAGGTAGAGTATGATTCTGAGTGCTCCTAAATCATGACTTGATGAAACGCTGTTACTTTTCATAGAATCATAGAACCGCTCAGGTTGGAAAAGACCTTAAAGATCATTGAGTCCAACCACAACCCAACCATGCTACCCTAACTCTAACAACCGTCCGCTAAATCGTGTCTCTGAACACCACATCCAAACTCACATCCAGAGATGGTGACTCAACCTCCTCCTTGGTGAACCTGTTCCAATGCTTAACCACCCTTTCTGTAAATAAATTTTTCCTGATATCCAAACTAAACCTCTCCTGGTGCAGCTTGAGGCTGTTTCCCCTCGTCCTGTCACCTATCATCAGTGAGAAGAGACCAGCCCCGCTCTCACTGCAATCACCTTTGAGGTATTTGAAGAGAGCAATAAGGTCTCCCCTCAGCCTCCTTTTCCCCAGACTGAACATCCCCAGTTCCTTTAGTTGCTCCTCATAGGGCGTATTCTCCAAGCCCTTCACAAGCTTTGTTGTACTTCTTTTTCAAGTTCCCCAAACAAAATTTTGTTTTTCAAAATTTTTTAGAGAGTTTTTCTATACTTAAGACAGCATTTATATTTTGGAATGTTAATTACTTTGGACAGAGGGGGGAAAAAAAGCAAACTGTCAAATACTTCCATCTACCCTCAAAATAAATATGCTGGGGGAAGAACTGTTGTATCAGAAATGTAGGCACTTCACTTGTGTGAAAAAAAAGGTACTTGTTATTTTGCCTATCTGACAGTTGGTTTAAGGAATATCTGCAAATCTTTTAATTCTGCAGTGTGAAGTATTTTGTTCATTTAATGATTAATAAAGTAATCATGATCAATCCCTATGGAAGAGAACTTCCTCTGCTGGATAAAGGAATGATGCTTACATCAGTGTACTGGATTTTAAAGTCAAAGATCAGATGTTAATTGTCAAAATTAATAGTAGTGCTGCAGTAATCAATTGCTTTTCTATGTTGTCACATGATATTTCAGGTGATGCTCAAGAATTCTATTATTTTTGTGTGAGAATGCAATTGCTGTTACTTCCTCTCTGAATATAGAATGTAATTTTTTTTTCATGTAAATTAAGTATCTAACTTCTTTACATTAAGAGAGAACATGAATTAGGTTCTAGCGCTGGATATTTTTACTTATCGAATATCTTGTAAATGTTATGAAAATTGCTGCATCTTTGCTAGAATAAAGAGCATGGCCCTGTTAGCAGTGCTTGTTGCTATGGCATAGTCCATTAAGTGATACTGAACTGCCAG